CACGTAAACCACAACCGCGTTGAGTCGTTCTGGTAGCGTTTTGGTAGTCGAATCGTAGCGATCTGGATCAAAAGACTAAAAAATCTGTCAAGTTATAGCGATCTGATAGCATATCAGTAGCGGTATAGTAGCACTTCAGTAGTCGAATAGTAGTCTTTTTGCTAGCAGGGACTGAACCGACCGTCAATGGACTACCTCTAGATCCCTTTGCAGGTTTAACCCTGCCACTGACATCATCAGCGAACATGAAACACGGGTTTTGAAGATAATGTGCCAGATTGTTAATGAATATAATAAGTAGCAAGAAGCCTAACACCGAGCCTCGGGGAACCCCACTTGTATCCATCTCATGATTAGAAGTGTCGAATGTTTTACAGAAGTCTAGATAGCAGACTTCTACATTTTTCTCTTCATCCATACGTCACGTGACTTTATTTAGAAACACAAGCCGATATGTAAGTCATGATTTTCGTTCAACTAAACCATGTGCCGGCGCCGAGAGTCGATTGTTAGTCAAGTGTAATCAAATTTGCTTTCTGATCAGTCGCACAACACACACTGGCGTTAGGCTAACTGTGCCTAATAAATGTCCTTTGTATCTCCAAGCGTGCTTAATGTCGATCTTTTACGCATGTGCATGTTAGAATATATACACTATCCAGATACACAACTCTGCGCTGCAAGCTTTCAGGTTTCTCCTTCCAACACCTGAATCTCCATCTCAGCCTCTCAATAATGTGCCGTGCTGTCACCACCAGCGATCACTGTCTACTAGACGAAAACTGACAACAACTGAGATTAGGGAATATTATGCTTACCCTCGGATCCGTAAAATACTCCAAGAATTCATGAGAACACCGAAGGACCACCGCACCCCCCAAGAGGACTTAGACAGGCTACTCCACTGGGGTGATGTATGGAAACTCCCGATTAACCCGGCAACAAGTACATATGCATTTTAAACGAGAGATGCCGGATAAATGATGTCTTACTGCGTTCAGCAACTGAGCGGGACTCATTATCTCATCCATGAAGACGCCGATGAACACCGTCAAGACGAGACTGTACCTTGACGTGATGGGATGGCTGGTGCACCTCTATGATCCAACGAGCTACACGGGACGGCTTTTATCAAGACAGGAAATCTTATCTTGCCTGGAAGGTCAGAGGATAGTGGTCGGACAAAGATCAGTTTCCTGGTTCTCCAGGTTGGGGGTTCGACTCGAGTTAGCGTCTCAGTCAGTAAAAAAATGGTAGAGGAGTAATCGATCCAAGTAAATGGGTCTGTACTTCGGTTTGCCCGGTCGCTGCCTTGCGGTCAGATTCTTGTTAGAACAAGGCTTTAGACGAGAACCCTAATCGTTATTCCGCTTAGTGGTTGGATCCCCTGGCAGTATCTGTCCATCGAACTCTAATTCATACACAAACAAACAATAATTCCCTACTTCATCGGTCGTTGCGCAGGATATCAGGACCGCGATGTCCATTGCTTCGAGCGGGGTCTGTAGTGATAAGTGGGTTTCTTCTCAGACATCCCAATCTTTGTTTAACTCGTTTTCCGTACCCAACCCTCCTTGTTTACCCCTTCTTCCGACCCGTACTTGTTCATCACTCGCCAAAGCCCGTTGCCAAGCAGCGTGGTGAGTAGCTCACTACAAAATAGATTGCAGATTCCATAGTCTCGTCAATCACTGAATCTAAGGGTCTTCAGCTTGAGGATGCTGATACAGGTAAATCAACAAACGTGTCGGGCGCCTACACTAGACTCATTGGGGATTGATATCTGCTGCGTATCGGAGACGCGAATCCAGGATCCTAGTACTATGGGCCCCTTAAGTACACCGGCACTTACTCCGCGCGTCAAGTGACGACGAAGCCCGTTCAGTAGGCTACCTTGGTGTAGGCATTGTACTCAATAATACAACCGGAACTTCACTAATCTATTGGATCGCCGTCAACAGTCGCTTATGTGCGATGCGATTCCACAGGTCTAGCAGCGTCCGGAGGAGGGGCTACGTCCAAAGGTGTTTGTTCAAGTGGTGGAGGAGCAGAAATAGACGCGATTCAAACGACGCTTCGACGAGCATTTGGTGAAACGATGGCAACTTGCGGTCACGTAAACGGGTTTCTGTCGGTGCTGGTGGTGAAGAGCCACATACGGGGCGCGGACCCTATGCCTTCTATACAAGATGAAGATGAAACAGCTGTATAGTGTTTCCTAGTCTTGCAGTGAATGTTTCCTTTGTTCTGTAAACAACGAAGTTCATTATGAAATCTGATTATATTTAATACTCTCTTGTTATATGTTTTTTAACGTTTGCATAATTCCTCAACATTTTCAGACTAGTCATTGTGACACATTGTGATTGTCTTCACGTGTCACCACCAAATTTTGATGTGTGCGAATCACGAGGTACCAGACAGTTTTTCAGAAAAGATTGTTCGTCAATATTTGACGGCTACAAATTTCGCAAAGACATTAGATGCTTTTAATGTCGAAGTGCGTCAACGAAAGGCACCGGTTTGCGTATGTTCAGATTGCTATTTAATGGAAGCAGTACCGGCCGTCAAATATTATGTGCAAGTTATGGACATGTTTAGATGAACACAAATTGGAACAGCTTGTGGACCTGTGGCATATGTTAGAGAATACATTTTTTGTTCGCTTGGACGCTGACCGGCAAAGAGATGCTCATGATCTTAAGGTTCATTTCTTCCGAACTTATATAGCCCTGGCTGTGAAAAACAAGCGGCGTGATGAAATCCAAGAATTTTTTGGTAAACTTTCATCATACTTTTCCACGGATTCGGATAATTGGCGCAGTTGGTATGGTAGGTAAACTGATGCGTACTTTAATCGATCTGTTCACGCAGCTTTACCGTATACCACGGATCCTCAAGACCATCCGGACTATTGCATGTACTTTACCAGCACGTGGTTAGATATTTTGTTTCTGNTGTTTCTGTCCATGGAAAATTTTTTGTGTATCATTTTTCACGCGGATCTCTGTCAGAACAACTTACTTCACACAATTGAAGTTTTAGAATCTCGACTAAAGGTGAGTTTTTATCTGTTGCTGTGGTTTCAATGTGTGAAGTTGCCTTTATAAAGATTGGTGTTCAATATATATGTGGTTTCAATGGACTTCACTAGAAATAATTTGACCTTAAGCATTTGCATTGTTATCTGTTCTTGATCCAACTATCGCGGCTCAGTATGGTTCATTTGGGAGTTGACTTTTGTTGCGTTACAGAGAACTGAATTCAGAATCCTAGTGTTGGGCTCTTCGGATACTTCCTCCATACATCAGAAAACCATAAAACCCATCCAGTGAGTTAGTGCGGAGTAGGTGCTGTTCTGAACGGCAAAACTGAAACCTCAATTGTGAAATGGATTACCGTCAACAGTCGTTTGTGATGCGATTCTGGAGCTCAAACAGTGTTCAGAGGGGAAGCAGCACCACAAAGTGCTTGTTTATAATCTCAGTACAGGCACCGACGAACCGCAGTTCTGTTCCACGAAAGGATGAGTTCTGCAACAAAAACGCTGCGGACTAGGCCAAATTAGAAATACAATACAATGCATTTTTAGCGAACTATGGATCCGAGCCCAAAGCCCATTTGAGATATTTAGTTTGAACAACCAGGCACTTTCCTATGTTAGTTTTGATTGCCGTTCGAGATACTTGAGCCATCTAGGATCGATAACCACGATAGAACACACACAGCAGTTTTCCGCTTACCTGGATGGACGTTGGTAATAGTTGCGTCTGCAATGTCGGCTGAAGAAAAGTCGCCGGCAAAATAGCCAGAAATAAACACCACCTTGGGAATATTCAAGATCGTTCCAACTGATGCGTAACATCAAAGGCTGTCGGTTCTACATTAGCGAAATAACCTGCGATACAACTGCTCCAGCTATTCACGTTAGGGAACAGCTGCTTTATCAGTATTCGTTTCACTTTTTACAACCTTANACTATGCACTTTTGTGCGCCGGTTTTGGTTGCTGTCTTTTGGTTACCTATTTGGATAAAAGAGAAGGATCAAAATTGGAATGTTGAAAGCAAATTCAAGCGGAAAATAGAGAATTCATGCAGACTGGTGTTAAGAGAATAATGAGTATATGCATGAAGTCGATCGTTAACGATACTCAGCCATATCACTTAGTGTCTCTAACAACCGATTACGGTCATCCCGAGGTCCTAGCCAGGGAGCCTAACGGGCCGATGTAACCCAATCCCCTGGTTAGGGTTTTCATACTCTCGTGCCAGGTCTGAGCTTGACCACCCTTCGCTTTACTCCACCTACTACGCGCCTCCGCGAACATCGCTGGGCGTGAGAACCTATTTGGTGACATGCGTAATACACGCCTCAACCGACGTAATTTATGGAGGTGGACCACCAGCTCCAGTGGACGCCCACGACTACCCAAAATTCTACGCCTAAACTCAGCATTACTCGTCCGGTCACCCCACCAAACTCGTGCAATGCGACGTAGTCAGCGGTGTTCGAACACCGACAATTTTTTTCTATTCTCTTCCCATAATGGCCAAGACACTGCACCGTAAAGCAGAATTGGCCGAACTGCTGCAGCATACACTCAACCCTTCACCGACAGCCGGATGTCGTGACGCCGCACAAATGTCTCAAGCTTGCAAATGTAAACTGAGCCTTCTGTATACGCGCTGACACTTCATCTGTGATGCGTCCGCCGGGTGAGATATAGCTGCCCGAATAACAATTTGTCTACTTCCTCCACTACTTCTCCCGTCAGGACGACACTGGATGCTGGATCAACCTGATCTCGGAGAGGCATTTTACACTTTGAAGGTGCAAAACACATGCCGAACATGGCTACACTAGCACACAAACTATCCAGAAAAGCTTGTAACTTACCTGGATCCTCACTTAGTAGGCCTAAAACCAGCCTGGTTCTCACACGTGCGCCAGACAATCGAGGAAGTATGGTACCATCGAGGAGTTTAGAGACGGTGTTTATTGAACTAATTCCAAGTGGATTTCTCGCCTTTTTTGTAAGTATGATGAGCGATTCACGTCATTCAGCTGGAACCTGTTCCCTCCCCCACTGCTTTATCGCTGTGTAGAGTACTTCAACGGACAGTTCGGATGTCCTGTTGCTGACAGGACCACCTCGACTGTTGATTCTAAAACTCCATGAGCGTTTTGTGTGAAGGTCCAACAGAAGAAGAAGTGTGGGAGAGGATAACGGCTGGACTTAAAGGGCTTCCTCTTACTTCTAACGGTAATAGTGCTTCTCTCATGGATTCTGTTACTGTCTTACAGTACAAGATCGAGGCGCAGGAACGTATAAATATTGTATTATATTTTCACGCACGTCTGAATCCAGACTGTGTGCCAAACAAATCATGATAAAATTATCTTTATGAGAAAGAAAAACGTTCCATGAGTCGCATGTGGGCAGAATACTGCCGGGTTGCCCAGGCCAAGGCAGATAAATTTTCTTAAGGAATCTACAACCGGAGCCTTTGACTAACCAAAGCCTTACCCGCAAGGCAGCTGGGTGGTGTGCGAAAACCGCAATCCATTGGGGACCGGTGTCCAGTTCGTCGGATCATACGCCCTTTGAACGGGGTCAAACGTCCAAGCTGCCCAATACACGATGCCCATTTGAGCCGGTAACCACTGCAACAACCGGGAAGGTGTGTGTGGTTCATACGTCTCCTCGTGGTTGGTTTGGAAACGGTTTTTGGCCAACTCCTGTAGGTGAACTACCAGTGGTCCACCAACCCGGTTATAGCCCCGGATGTCGGCTTTTCGTCCTCTCACTTTATTGGGAAAACACCTCCGCTAAGAGAAGGCAGTGAGTAGGGCTTCCTCAGCAGAGGCTATTTGAGACGCTTGGTCGTATGGGAGCATTTACTAAGGTGCAAGGGAAGGTTACCAGCCGCCACCCCAGACACCGACCATCACCATACGGAGACTTTTGGAGGCTCAGGAATGTATCCTATAATCCTGAAAGAAGTCGTTCCGATTTTCAAGAAGGCAATTCGCAGTAACTGTGCGAATCACTACCAGATAAATTTGATCTCAACCCTCAATAAAGTGTAATCCTTCGTCGTACTTCACTGTCTGACGCCGTGAACAACTAAGCGGATGTGTTCAACAAATTTTCACATTGCGTCAAATCCTCGATTGACGTCATGTACACCATCGACGATAGTAGTATTCTGTGATCTAAAAGGAGATTTTAATTCAGTTGCTCGCGAGTTTGATTGACTCTCCAGGAATTTATTAAACCCACTGTACTCAAATATTTCTGGTCAGCTCAAGTGACTAGTTCGTTGCTAGTAGTAATGTTCATCGGGAGCACTATTTCGCTGCTTTTTTGTATTTTTATGGTAGAATATACCCTAAGTAATCTCCGAAATAATGGTGTTAGACGGACAGATGTAGAAAAGTTGTTATTTGGAGTACTTTGTTATGCTTACTTGTCTTTTCCAGTGTAATAGAGACACCCAAATTACATTCTACAAACTAGTAAGCTATATTATTCCTTTCATTGTGTGTTGCACCCTCGAAGTAATACTGCAAGATTGAGTATCCACTAGCCGCTCTGCGATTAGGTAGTCCTGAGTTTGATGAAGTATGTTGGTTTTTTTACCCAGATATTTTTGTGACGAATGATCGTAGTACAGTCAAGGAGGTGACTGCGCACATATCTAAGGCTCGCACTGAATACGATTGACTAAAACATCTATGTCATCGACGCGGTGTTTCTTTGATCTTTAAAGTTCACTTTTCCCCTCCTTCAAAACAGGCCGACCCCATTTTACTCCAGTTGTAAGCTTGGCGGTGCTCAATTACTTTCGCATCACTGTATTTCGCAGTACGATGATGATGACCCATTATATGCAGCTTTCAAAATCACTTCATGTGGTTTCTGTGCTACTCTTCTGACCCTTCAAATATACACTTATTCACCACTGCTAGAGCAGTGTTTTCAGTCACGAGGACCTTCAGTGATCAGCAACAAGTTTGAAGCTGCGGTTAGTTAATCACAAAAAGTGGATATTGATATAGCTGACCAATTTTTCCTTGGATGGTTGAGAACTTCCGGAATATACATAGAGATAAATAAAATAGAAACTTACGTTAAACTATTTTACGCCAACGGATTTTGTGCGAAAGGTCGATTAACGATGATACATGGAATGCAAAAGAAATATGGGAGGTTAGTCTATCCTCAGTTTTGTGTAATTTTTTCTATGCCATAAATAAATACTTTCCGTTGAACAAACAAGAGGTTGCATCGTTTTAAATACTTTTAAAGAAAACGCAAGTCGATCAATTATTAATCACAAAATTTCATCCGATTTTTGAATTCACGCACCAAAACAGAAAGAAGATTGCTCGCATGATCCCGTTGCCAACCAACCGCCTTTCGGAAAACTTTTGGATGATTGCAACGAACTGGGATCCATCCGTCCGATAAATCGGTGACAGGCGCCAGACGACTTGGTTCACAAGCACGGCTGATGGTTCATTATTCTTCCTTATCAATAAAGCCACAACAAAACAAATGCTGTTTTACTGTGTAGTGGGCGAGTGCTTGTAAGCTAACATCGAAAATAAATACAGCAGGTAACCGAAGAATCATGAATTCACCTGCTTTACATCTCGTGGTTCCTGTTTCTCAAACTAATCGAGTGGGCTTCAGCATGATCAAACAGGTCTGTTTCGACGATTTTTGTTACTATATAATCAGGATGTGGTTTACGAAACATGCTGAAGCACTGAAAGCATGACAAATAGCCTCATGATTTTCGCATTTGACTCACAGTTACTCATGAGTAGTGGTGTGGGATAATTGATTTTCATCGATAAAACTACTTTTCATCACATAATCCATTTTTGTTGTTTTTCACAACCACTGGCTGTTACGGTATGCCAGGTCCTTTTTGGATGAAAAAAAATCCAAATTGGGTGTATCAAGTTGCAGTTCATTACGACTAAACTGCACATTGAGGTGGTGTGATGGCTTTTGCACCTCTATGGCACGACGAGCTATACAGGATGACTTTTGTCAAGCCTAAGATCTAATCATGCATGGAGGATCAAAGGGTATAGGCAGACGAAGTCCAGTTTCCTGGTCCTCCAGGTTGGTGTTTTAGTCAGTAAAAAATGATAAAGGAGTATTTGATCCGAGTAAGTGAGCCCCGCTTTGCTTCATCCGCTGAAATGGGGTTAGGTTCTTGTCAGAACTTAAGGCTTTGGTTAAGAACCCTAATAGTTCTTCTGCTTAGTAGCTGGACACCTTAGCAGTACCCGTTCATCAAACTCCAACGCATACACAAACAAAGATAATTCCATACTGCATCGGCCGTGGCACAGAATGATTAAGACAGCGTTGCCCATTGCGTCGAGTGGGGTAGGTAGTGATATGTGGACTACTGCTCGGAAATCTCAACCTTTGTTTAGTTCTTTCTCTTCCGTGCCCAACCCTATCCCTCTTCACCGTGTTTCGACCGGTAACGGTCCCTCAAGCA